ATCTGCAAAACTGTGACTTTTTCTCCTATAATTTGGAGTGCTTTTTAAACAAGTATTTTTATTAACAGTAGATAGATCCAAACTTAATGTTTCAGCAACCATTTTCCCTGTTGATTTCAGATTGATTGACATTTTGTTTCCACATCCTAGGTGCCTGTGTGGCTCCAGCCTTCATCTATGCCACTTCAATAGGTATGTTTCTCTTGCACACAAACAGAAGGCGTGTGCCTGTCTCTTCAGCATTCCACTTCATTTGGTCCTCTGAACCCCCATTCTCTGCTTTTGTTTCCTACCAGAATATGTGCTCCTTACAGTGAACAGTGCATAAAAACAACCAAACGCCAACATCTACAGCCCGTTTCGTTGGTCTGGATTTGTATGGGATTAAACTCTAAGGACTCTTTGGATCATGAATCTAGCACATGATAATTGTACATGAATGTGTAGCTTTGAAATTAGTTGAGACACCTGCATTTGTTACCTTAGGTTCACATAATGACCACATTTACTTTGCTTCGTTCCGAAGCTGTAGTTGGGCCTTAATGAATTGTGAAATATCGATCTGATGATTCATGTTGTCTTTGAGGTTGTATGGAGAGAAGATAAGACAGTTGTAAACATTGCCAAGACATGTTTTCTATTTACAGCACATACACTTACCCGACGCGCGCAAGGGCGCGCGCATTCCACTAGTATGTAACAAGTCCAACAAGAAGCTAGCTAGCGAGAAGCAAGGGAAGAGCAAGCATGGCCGCCTACTGTCTCCCCACGCTTTGCACTGCCCAGAAACCATACTTACGTGCCTCTCGCCGCTCCGGCCAAATAACCATCAGCACGGCAGCGGCATGTCGTCGCGGCGCCAGTCGCATTGAGGCCGCCGCCGGAGATTGCACAAAGCATTCTGCTTGGACCAGCATCCGACAAAGAACGGTGGGAAGGAGACTTGGCCGTAGAAGGACGCATCCCTGCATGGCTGGTACGTACACGTACTTATATATTTATACAGCAGCAGCTGTGAGAAAGATTGTTAACATTCGTCACACATATATCTATGATTGGCAATTTATCATACAGTCTAGTCACTCGTACGTGCTCCTCCACGGGCGAGGATTCTAGAAGAAATAGCTGTTAGAAGTTCATGTTTACTAAAACAACGATTTCAAGAGACACGAGGCTTTTTTCTATAGAGACAGGTCAATATACAGCCGCCTCTATAGTGGCCTCTAAAACGAGCTATGTCTAAAAATCGATTTTTAGGGCGACCGTTGAAAATAGTAGCCTCTACAAATGCCTCTATTTTTAGAGGAGGCTCTCTTTCTAATCGTCTCTGTCTCTTAGAATCGATTTCTAACGGCCTCTAAAAATAGAAGGTGCATATTAAATTTAAATTTTTAAATGACCTCGGATGAAAAAACGATCAAAATAAAAGTTGTAGATCTTGGAAAGTTACGCAACTTTGTAGTTGACAATTTTTTCATTATAATCATCTATGCATGAAACATAACATTTGAATTTATCACATTTGAAATTTCAATTTTTCAAACGATCTCATATGGAGAATCGATCAAAACAAAAGCTGTGGATTTTGAAAACCTAAACAACTTTGTTGTTGATAACTTTTTTATTTGAAACCATCTATCAAAGGAAAATTATGTTTGAATTTTCTCACATCTAAAATTCAAAATTTTCGAACATTCTGGATGGAGAAACAAATAAAATGAATTGTAGATCTCGAAAAGTTATGCAACTTTGTACTTGACAGCTTTTTTATTGAAATCATCTATATATGAAAAATTACATTTGAATTTCTCACATTTGAGATTCAAATTATTCAAACGACGTTGGATGGAGAAACGACCAAAACCAAAGTTGTAGATATCAAAAAAATTATAAAACTTTGTAGTTAACAACTTTTTCATTCGAATTCGTTTAAGGTCTCAAATACTAATTTCAAAACTGGACGAGGATAAAATGAGGTGACAAATATACCAATTGGACACACATATCCTATGGGTGGAGTGGTTAGGAGAGGCTGGGTAGTGTCTCCTCGGGTTTATTTTTTCTTTGTTCTTTTTGCTATTTTTTTGACTCGGATTTTAGTATTTCTGGACAATGAAAACTATAGCCTCGTCTACAAATCGATTTCTAGAGATGGCTCCTGTTCTCATACGCCTCTAGAAATCCCATTTTTAGAGGCGGCTGGACATCCGCCTCTACAAATCAATGGTTGGGGCAGCTATCTCTATAGAGGCTTTCCAGCCGCCTCTCTGCTGTGAAAATTTGTAGTAGTGACAAATTAAATGAAACTACTTTTCTTTGCACTCCTTGTTTTAGTGAATTTTCTAACACATTGTAACCTATATCATGTTGTGATAAACTGTCAATTAATAAATCTATTTAATTTGTTTTCTCCATCATTATCGGAAGTTGTCCTTCCTCTACATGATATCTCCATGTGGTTTTAATATGCATTTAGTCCAAACATTAGCTTAAATTCTAAATTCTATTGGATCTTGTTTTAGCCCATGTCTAATGACATTATAAATCTATACCTTTACTTTTTAGGATGAAACCAGATGCTTACCATATGTGTGTTGAGAAAGTCAAATCACACATATAATGATAAAGTAATGTACGCACATGCATTTATTATATACACCCCCTTTGTCCTATAATATAAGAAATCCTAATAATTTTCAGACAAAATAAAGAATCTGATAAAAGACCACCTTGCCCCTAACTAATTAGAATGGAGACATAGTTCTGTTGTTATTTTCCTTAATTAATGTTAGTTGTTATAGTTGATACTAAGTTTCAATGGAATCTCTATATTTCTGGCTGAGAGAGAGAGGAGGAGGTCGAGGGTCTAGAGTACCTTGTACTTCACATAGCGGAAGGAAACTCAACGAAGGCATCACCATCTGGTCTCATTCATGATTTTATTGAATATAAAACTAGTGTTAGTATACATATATTTAACAATTATAACATGAGTCGTCATGTGAAGGCACAAAAGATTATACACGGTTGAATTGTGGTAAGCAATCTAGTTGCACACGTTTGATTTACTTAAACATGAGTAACTAGATTATGCTTGAGGCCCAAGTATATAAGTAACTAAAGATATCAACTTTTAAGCTAAACCATCCGTAGCACCAACATGACCGAGAGCACAACCGTTAAAACAGTTTAAAACAGAGACGAGTTCCACCTGTGGTAACAGCAAGCAGAGTCCACTTTATACGTAACAGGAACACATAGCACCAAATTATAGGTTTCTGATGTACAAATGTGTGTCTTCAAGTACACAAAAAGTTATAGAATAGTTCACATATGTTGGAATCGAGTCACTCTAACTCTTGACGGACAGAGGTAGAAGATGAACAATAGACGTAGACTTGCGGGTGACGAACACCGCGGCGACGAACGCATGTATCTTGGCTTCTATTATTCAAACACATGACTCGGAACAACTCACACGCAACGCATACACACGGCTATAAGAAGCCTGGCTTACATGCATGAGCAGCAAAACTGCTTGGCCGGGTCTTCATGGGCACACACGCATCCACGATCTCTAGTGCGAGTACATGAGCCGCTCACTCTTGCACACCTAGTCATCGCCTTCAATTCCGGTGGCAAGCTATGCACGCTGCAACGTCCTCCACTACTTATGCATGCAAGCAGTTCCTATTCTACCGCTACAAGCTGCAACAAACGCAGATTCTAAATAGCTAATTAGCCTAGTGACGTGCAACACATGCACGACCTATTACTGATTAACTAACAGAACTGTCTCAAACTATAATGCATGCACGAGGCCAGGTGGAGTATGACACGTCGCACACACGACGGACTCAAGTCAATGCACTCCAACGCGAGCTCGAACACGCGCGCCATTGACGACTCAACCTGACACATGCACGCGCGCCATGCACCAACATGACGTGGTTTATTCTAACAATATCGGCCATTCTAGCGAACCATTGGGCTCTCGGCGTCGTCTCGCTTGCGAGGCGACTCAAGGGCGACCCAGCCCGGCCGCCGAGCGACGCATCCTTCCCGGCATGCTCGGCCGCTGCTGCCGCGGCTCTGTCGCTAGCGATGGCCGTGGCGGCGGCGGCCAGCGGGCGGCACCCAAAAAGGCTCGCTCCATCCTCCACCGCTCCTTTTCCCAAATCCAAAATCCCTTGTACATCTCTCGATCTGTCAGTGCTTGGGTCATATTCTTGCTTCTGGAGGCCGGATCCGTGCTCCCTCCTCTCCCCTCCTCTTGGTGACCTTCGAACCTCCAGCAACAAGGGCGCCCAACGGCGGTCATGGAGGCCGGCGCAGCTCCGGATCCGTGGCCTAGGGGCCTGGATCTGACGCCCTCTGTCCTCAATCCGACTACGCCGGGGCGCAACATACGGCGGCAAGAAGAAGCTGGCCCGGCGATGGATGCCCTGCACTACGTGAAAAACGCTTTGCAGAGGCGGCTGCAGACCCGTTTGTAGAGGCGGCTCAGTCAGCCGCCCCTACCATACCGCCTCTACAAATCATGTATTTGTAGGGGTGGTTCCCAGACCATCCTTACAAATCAATTTGTAGGGACGGCTGGTGTTACTAGCCGTTCCTACAAATCGATTTGTAGAGGCGGTTGGTACAGTTGTAGGGGTGGCTGATAACACCAGCCGTCTCTGCAAATCGATTTGTAGGGGCGGCTGCAGTACCAACCGCCCATACAGTACATTTTTCCGTTAAAAATTCAAATTTACAGTTAAATTCGACCAGAATATATATATATAATTCAAATTTGACCAGAATATATATAATTCTCAGGCATACTATAATAATAACCTCAAAAAGTGCGTGAGTAATTTTTATTTTTCCAAGTGAAATTGAGTTCTAACGCTGTAGCTAAAGGCCTGATGACACCAACCGGCAACCGTCGATGCCATGTCTGATGTCTCGTACTCCTGCCGTCTACCAACTGAACCATGGCAGCACCCTCCGGCCGGCTACAGAGTGCCGAGGCAGCGCCAGTGATCCTCCGTGAAGGCCGCGTCGCGGTGGCGGCACGCGGCCTCGGCAGACACGAGCTGCACGACGGTCGGGGACAGCGGCGCCACGCACAGGCCTCGCCTGCGCAGATCCATCACGCCGCCATCTTCCTCGCCCGTGTCCTGCCAACCACAGAAGCGATTCAAAGCTTTTAGTTTCGTGTACAAGCGTCGCGTGACAATTCAGTAAGAAGCTGATGCAATGCAACATCTGGCTCACCTGGATCTGCTCGTGGAGATGCTTGATGTAGGTAGCTGCCTCATGGAGCACTGATGCCGTATCGGTTTGCACACGCGGGTAGATCTTATTCAGGTTTTAGAGACACAAACGCTCTTCAGATTGGCGCATGCTATGCATGCAGATCACAAATAGGAATACACACACAGCATGGGCAGCAAAGGTCGATGAACTGCTGGAGCTTTACCTTGCCATATGGGGAGACGAGCTGCTGAAGCGCCGTGATTTTGTCCCCCAGCTTCTGGCTCCTCTTACATGGTGCCTGCACAAAGTATATAATAACCAAAAAAAGGAAAAACATTCAGAATACAGAACGTTCAGGTGATGTTGATGTCCGGGATCAGGCAGGCATCGAAGCCAGCCTGCTGTGCATACAAACGGGGTTTACATGCGAACAAAACAACCTCGGTTACCTTCATCATAGACTGATTTCTTGTTGGTTTCGGATTGCACCGTTGGCCGTGCTGTGGACCTTGTGATGTCGCTGGCGTCGTTGTCTTGAGCCTCTTTGATCCCCTGAGACGGCTGCCATCACCGGTCACCGTCTCCCCCGCTGCCGTCCAATTCATCGAGTAGTGCTGACAGAAACAGGCATGTCCAAGACGCAAGCTTAATACTAGAACCATTAGCATGATACTAGAAGGTTTCAACTTGAACAATGTGAAGAGAATCACAAGTGCATACTGACAATCTACAAGGGCCGTCACAACTTGTTATTTCTCGTGAGGATGTGGTCCAAGTAATCAGGCATCCCAGAAGACATTCAAACACAAATAGTTGCATTGCAAGGTAAAGAATAGGCCTGCAAAAGCTAGAAAGGTACATATAAACCAATCTCAACAAAGAAGATCCTAAATTTGATCACTATATATTATATAGGCATAGAAGACAATGAGGACAAATTGAAAATACAGAAGCAATATGTCAGTATCTCAAATGAGAGTAGCATAGAATTGGCAAGAGATTGTTCCCATTTCATAGAATAGAGAAGAGTTTGTTACAGGAACAAACTCATATATACATATGCTAGATGCTACTGATGATCTTCCAATCTAAGTTACTTATGTCAAATACAACAATTTCAGTTTAGCATCTATGCAACTGGGATTTGTCCAGGCTCAAAACTAAGGACCTATGATGCATATGAAGCCATTAGCCATTATGTTCAAATGCAAAACAAATAGGGACTTGGAAAAATGGGAAAAATCAATATGGGCAAGAGCTTAATTGAGTTTCAAAATATTTGAATTTGTGTAGAGACAGTGGTATGTCCTTAAAACTCTGGTGTTACTTTACGCGGGCTTTTTATGCAAGTATATATGCATTTTTAAGAAAGTATATTAGCCATTTTATCAGAGCTCCTGTGAAAAAAAATCATACATGGTGCTAACCTGCTAAACAGAGGAAATAGAGCTGTCCCTTGAAGCAGCCAATGGATCTCTGGAATGGAACTGACTAATCAATAAGATAAATCCCAGGAAAATGCACAGTCAGCTGAGACATAGAAAAGCAAGCGAAAAGTTCAACTCTAAACTAAATGCCCATAGCTACAGCCTCTATCATTATGTGTACCCAGCCCCTATCATATTGGATCTCCCAACTGGAATGTAATGTTAGTTGGTAGGTAGCAAACAGATATAACCATGAAGGGCAAAGTTCTGATAGGCTATACTTGCAGCAGCTGCACAAAGTGGGAAGATTAGACAAATGTATGCATGGATATATGTATGTACCATGTAACGCGATCGAAATGCTCTGGTTTCATGTTGTGTTCCTGTTGTCCTGAGGTAAGATAAGTTTTATATTGGTACCAACAATAATCGTATACCTATAATAATTTTCAGGTATTTTGTTCCAATCGCGTTAACATGTAGAGGTGACATTACCGTTGAAAACATATTTAAATTACACATTTCATCTATTACATTGTGTTCTACATGATCTGCCCAAAAATCACAAGAAGTTGTACCCTGATCTAAAGACCCAGAAAATTGTTTTGGAACACAAACTGCAAGAAGCCAATCTTATGGAAAAAGGACATCGGAAGGCACCTGCACACTTCTATCACCGGTACTTTCTCGGCGAACACCTTGAATATGGCACTTGGTCTTCCTCTAAGGCAATGCATCAAACACCTTGAGCGTGACGTGTGGTCCATACATGTGAAGCATCAGCAGTGTCCACCAGCAGGTAGCGAGGAAGACAGCGGAAGTTACAGCCATCAGGATTAGGCATGGTGGTGCAGTAGCGACTTGGGATCTGGATCGTGGTACCTGAGGCTGATGTGGGAGGCAGTTCTTGCGACGACGTTTGGAGGGACAGGGGGAGAGAGGCCGTCGGCGTACTGTGCAGGGCCCGTCGCGGCCGGAAGCACCAGATCCAGCGTGCGAAAGCGCCCAGGCCGCCGCCTCGGGATAGCCGCAGCTGGGGCTTGGCCAGGCCGCCACGCCGGGAGGGGGAGCGCCTGTGGCAGGGCTGCCACGGTCGGGTGCCTGTGGCGCAAGGGCCGGCGGGCTGGCCGCGGCCAATGGCCGGTGCGTCGGGTTCGGCCGTGCCAGGGGGCGCCGCCGCCGGAGGGGAGCCCGTGGGGACGGCCGTTGACGCCGCCGCGGGGGGGTGCGGCCGTGGGGACGGCCGGCGGCGGGGAGGCGAAACCCTAGGCTCCCCCGTTTGCTTCGGGAGGTCGCGTCGAGAGGGAGAGGGAGCGAAGAGGAGAGAAAGTGAGGGCGACGGGCGAGGCAAACCGGCTTAATATATTAGAATTTTATTGTCGGTTCGGTATTTGTAGGGGTGGCCGATGATTCAGCCGCCCCTACAAATGGACACAGTAGGGGCAGCTGGTATTACCAGCCGCCTCTACAAATCCGACCCATTTGTAGGGGCAGCTCGTATCACCAGCCGCCCCTGCTGTTCTATTTATAGGGACGGCTGGTCTCTAGGCTCCCAAAATTTGCCTCGTTGCTACAAAGCATTTTTCATGTAGTGCTGCTCGCTCAGGTACGGGTGCCTTGGCCGACGTCCCCTGCCCTCAATCCGGCTCTGCCAGGGCGTGACTTACGGCGTCAAGAAGATGCTGACCTAGCGGTGGATGCTCTGCTCGCTCAGGTATGGGCGCCTCTCCATCATCTTGGGTCATAGCTGACCGGGACAAGGCTACGGCGGCCAGTCCTTCCGCGGCTGGCTGGAGCTCCGGCTGGCCGGGTCATGGCCGGCTCGGGCTGGGCTGCTCTGCTTCTTGCGCGCGCGGCTGGCTCTGGCTGGCAGTCGTCGAAGCGGTGCGATGACCTGCAGGGGCACGGGCGAGTCCACCAGAGGTGACTTCCAACTGCTGGGCCTCTGCATCCCAGGGCTGTGGGCGGAGGCCTCCGGATCCCAGAGGCTCCCATCCGCCAGCATCGCCAGCCAGTGGACGCCGCTGGCGATGGGAGCGTCGGCGCTGCGTGCCGAGCCGTTGTTGCTAGACTGACCTGCTGCTCGCATCGTCTTGGGACGCAGCGGGCGGCGACGACGCGATAGACAAGGGAGCCGGACCGGAGGTTGCTGCTTTGTAGGGGCTGCTACTTCCGGTGGTCCTCCCCTCCTACTATCGCGAATCTTCCGCAGCCACATCCGGCGAGCCAGATCCGGCGATGTGGCGTCTACAAGGCTGGTAAGCGCATCTCGCAAAAGCTCCGGTGCGACTCGTTCTTTGTAGGTTCGGCTTGGCGTGTTGCGCTCTGGATGGGCTTCGCAGCACTTGAATCTGGGTGAAAATCTGCTGGATGTTGCTCCGGGCGGCGTCGATGGCGCAAATGGCGTCATATTCCTTCCGGGAGGCGCGCTATAGTTTCCACTTCCTTCTTACATGAAGGCCATTCCGAGCTTGACGCATCCGGCTGGCGGGGTTTCGTGGCAAAAGCCCTTATGAGCCTGGTGCTTCAATCATCAATGATGGCGTCCGTGGACGTCATTTCCCTTCTTAAAGCATCGACACAAGCATGCCTGTTCTCGGCCGTGCTCGGCACAACCTTCTGGTTGCTCTCCCACACTATCTGGTTGTTGGTCTGGCTACCCTCCTACCCTTTGGCTTCTGCAAACACTACTTACTATCATGTGCTCGACATCAACGACTTGTTTTGTCGTCCTCTAGATCACTTGAGTGCTCCGCCTCATCATATGCTAGGTTACGGGGACCTTGATCGTCTCTTCTCTGGATCTCCTTGTTGTCCTCTTGGCGGTCCTACCCTTTGAGGCTTCCTTCTCCCAAATGGCGTTGGTGGGCGTCGATTGGAGACTAGATACGCTCTAGGTAATGCTACTCACGATTGCCGCGTGTTGGCTTCGACTCGATGCCTCACAGCTTACTGGCTGTCGTCTGTTGGATCCAACTCAATTCCTTACAGCTGCATGTGGGCTAGAGTTCTTCAGAATAAGTCTTTGGTGGTGGGCTGGTGGCACAGGTTAGCAAGTAGTGTTTACACTTGCTACAGTCAGTAGGCAGAGCTGGTAGCTAAATCATGTTATGTTTGTTTTGTTTGTTAAGTGTTGTAATTCTACTCTCTCCCCCTCTCATCGAAGTTATAATTGGCGCCAAGCCAAGCTTTGGGGTCCTTACCCACTACTCACCAGACCCCGTCTGGAATCAATATATTCAGGTGGAGACTTTTCATCCCCCCATGTTGCTTTAAAAAAACAGTTTAAAAGATACTCTACATGTAGGGATCTTACAAATTTAACCATAAGTCACGATTCTGGGTTTATGATCCTACATTTACACTTCCAATATGTAAATGTGCTTAAACTATACTTTAAAAGACTTTTGAAACTCAGAATTGAACTCATTTGAAAACTAGTTTTTATCAAAATTTTGAACTTTTTTTTTAAATATAGCAAATCCTATTCATGGCTTAAATGAATTTGTAATTTGTTTTTTAATAAATTTAATGTAACCAACATGAACGCACCATCTCTAGAAAAAAAAATTTAGAAATATTTATAAACATTTTTGTTTTGCAATATCGATAACAAACTAACTAAAACTTGACAATTTCATAAATAAAATCATTTTTATGTAGGATTTTTTTTTATTTATAACATAAAATGAAAATTTTAAAGCGTGACACGCACCCCACTTCCTGCTGGCCCATCTTGAGCATACAGAGGCTGATTTCGTCGATGAACTGACCGAAGCAAGCAAGCATCTGCTTTCGATGCCAATGGGAAGGAGGACGACCACCAGATCTCATGACTGTGGGAGGAGGACGGCCCTACCTCATTCTCACCTCTCCCTTTCATCTTTCACGCGAGCGGCCACAGAGCAGAGCTCATGACTGCGGGAAGAGAACGGCGCCGGCACAGGCTGCCAAAGCGTGCGCGGCTCCATCAAGCGGCTCCCCACCAGTGCTACGGAAGACGACGTTGCACAGGAGGGCATCATCTCGGCCGCAACGGTGCGGCGGCAAGAGGGTGCGTGCACGGACGTCTACGGGCATAGTATTGCTGGGGAGAGACAGAATTGCACAGGCAGACAAAAACCCAAGCATGCTTCCGATCTCTGCGCGTCAACAGCGTCGTTGTTCCCAAGATGATGGCGAGGGCTCTTGGCCGGTACCTGGTGTGACGACGACATCTGGCCAAAGTAATAGATACCGAGGCCCCCATATCACTGATGGTTAGGGTTCCATTTCAAAAATTTGAGAAAAATTGGACGAAATTCAAGATCTATGGCTTCAGGAATTTTGGTATTCCATCGCAATTGTTCCTAATTTGCTCATCCCCTTATTCTAATTGCTGATTGGATACCCTAGCCCCCTAACGACCCCTTAATGTGCATGGATTTGGCATTAACCAATGCTAAAAATAAAGGGCTAATCCGTGAGGGGTCAAAATTGGGCACAGATCATTAATCTGTGACCATAACAATTAACCAAACCTAGGACCTAAACATGCATAATTAAGCATACACAGAGGCACAATTAGCTTAGGGCATGATTGATTAGGGCCTAGACATGATCAACATGGCTAATTAGGGCACTAATTAAGTAATCTGGCCTCAAAATTAACTTAATCTGAGGCATAATCCACACATCAGTGGTCTATGAACGAGATCATCAGGCTCTCTGATACCGCAATATTAGAAAACCAAGGGCTTAACCACATCTCTAATTTAATTACACGAACACAGCTAATCTTAGATTGATTATGGGACAAACCATAGCTAGGGAGATGGGTGGTCTACCATCGGTATTGATCAGTCTGGTGAAGTTGGCCTTGACGAGATTCACTTCTCTTAAACGCTGGTGGGGGAGCAGAGGTCGGAGGATGGTGTTATGGTGGCGTTAGGACAACACCTTATTGATTCAACGTTAGTGAGAATGTTAGAGTAGACTAATCTCTAGGAACCGTGATTGATCTAGAATAAGTGCTATCCCTAATTTTGGTATTGTGTGACAGGGGCACAACCATCATCCGGTTAGATGGCACTTTCGATCGCAGTGCGTGCTCCCCTGACTAGGCCATATGAACTGGTCTGGACGTTGGCCCATTTCTAAAACCTAGCCTGAGATCACTTTTTTCCAATGGTAATAAGAATGTAAGATATACAATAATATTATCTCGCTTGCTTGAGTCTGCTGCGATAATGGTACAGAATGGCACGTACCTGAGGAATAGGTCAGGGGTGTGGGAGGTGGGCGACCACGTGTTCGATCACGTCTTCGACGGGTACGCCACACATAGGCAGATCGAGTCGGACGCATACAAAGCCGCCAGGGCGCATGGCCGTCCGCTCATGCGCGAGTTCTCCCAGTTGTGCCCCAGCGAGCCCGGGACCGTCGTCAATCGCCTCCGCCACGCAGTCAGGCTCGCTAGTGGCGCTGCCATGTCCGACAACGCCAACACCACGGTGCTACCACTCGGGGACGACCGGGTGGTGTGCCTCGCCGACGTCACCAAGAGCTTGGTGCTCATCGACCCGTACTCACTTGGGACGGGCGGCAAGCTCCGATACGTGGACAGCCTGTGGTGCCTGGTGCAGTGTACGCACCCCGGTCGCGACGGCCCGCACCACCGCTGAGGTCTTGATGCTTCTCCCAGACTTCACCCGCGGGGCTACCTTGTGGCCAGGATGCCCGCTGGGAGCAACAGGCGGCAGGTGATCGGGAGGGTGCGGTGCCGGGGAGGGACGATGGCGCCGGCATGCGTGCATTCGTTTGCCGTCACGGAGAAGTACATTGTTGTGCCGGAGATGCCGCTCCGGTACTCGGTCACCCGCATGCTCATGTCCGAGCGCACCCCCTTATACATACTGGACTGGCTACCAGACTCCGGGAGCTACATGCACGTTGCTTGCAAATCCACTAGAAGAACTGTATGTACGTTGTCATTATGAGTCAGCTGAACATCATGGACGTGTTGGAAATTAATTGGCGCAACAAATAATGGAAGAAATGAGCAAATATCGCGCTTGGCTCGCCATGGCCCGCTCCAGTCGGCTTAGCTGACTACCTGAGTCGGCTAAGCCGACTCTCCCCTACGTTGGCTCGGTCGTGGCGCCTAGAGCCTGAAATAATCGGCTTAGCCGACTCTCTCTACTGTTCCGAGTCGGTTTGGTTTCCAAATTGGTTTTGGATCAATTTTGGACGTGAAAAATTTGGAGAACGCGTTTTAGACTTATTTCCTACTAGGATAAGACCACCCCCTCTATATATATGAGAGGATCACGGCCGATTGAGGATCCCAACTTCAAATCGTCAAATCAATCTATTACAACCCGTTTACCCCTTTTCCTCTCTATCCTACTATTCGTCTCGTCTCGTCTCCTGGTAAGATTTAGCGAGTGTTCTAGGCAGCCTTGCTGGTCCTAGAACACCCTCCACGAGCTCCTCCCCGACGGTTCTTCCTTGGAAGAGTTCAAGAGTTTATCAAGCGAGAAGAACGGGCTCAACATCGGTTTAACTGTCTAGATCGATTTAGTCGATCCCACTGCGCCCAAGGTCGTGTGTCGTCAGTGGGCGTGCTAGCCCTTGCTGGTCGCACCTCCATCGTCAACAGAAGCAACATTTTTTTTGTGAATTACAAAGGACAAGGTTTTATGTGTCGATCGTGGGTGTGCTAGCCCTTCTTGGAGTGTGACCAGGAGAACCTTCCGTCGTCAACAGCGGCAACATTTTTTTGCAAATTATACAGTACAACATAGACACTCATAATGCACACATGATCAGGAGAACCTTCCGCCGTCAACAGCGGCAACATTTTTTTTGCGAATTATACAGTCGCAGACACTCATAATGCACACATAATCACTCATATGAACGCACGCACGTAAACCACCTATCCCTATAAGCATCTTCAAAAACTGGGCTGACAAATCCTTGAAATTGTCGCCTACCACTGAAAGCACAACGCCGTTTAATCGTGAAAAAATCGCTTCCGCTGAGACTTCTGTAACAACTAGGCTATAGACCCTTTCACATCAAAGCAGCAACATAAAAGCAATTGTTCTTAAATATTGACTCATGCATTTGTCTAGTTCTAGCATACTCATGAGCTCTTTCTTCGTGGAGTAACGAACCTTTTCTTTCCCCGATAAGAACGTAAGATATCGTAATAACAGATCTTACTTGGTCGAGTCTGCTGTGATGGTACAGAACGGCACGTACCTAAGGAACGGGCCAGGTGTGAGCGTTCGATCACGTCTTCGACGGCTACGGCACATTGGTCCGCGTCTACTTCCACAGGGCGCTCGAGGCCGTGCTACCGGCGCGCACAGGCAGATCGAGTCGGACGCATACAAGGCCGCCATGGCGCACGGCCGTCCGCTCATGCGCGAGTTCTCCCAGCTGTGCCCCAGCGAGCCCGGGACCCTCGTCGACCGCCTCCACCACGTCATCAGGCACGTCAGCGGCGCTGCCACGTCCGACAACGCCAACACCGTGGTGCTGCCGCTCGGGGACGGCCGGGTGGTGTGCCTCGCCGACGTGACCAAGAGCTCGGTGCTCATCGACGCTGAGACGCTCGGGACGGTCGGCAAGTCCCGGTACACGGACAAGCTGTGGTGCCCGTTGAAGTGCACGCACCCGGTCGTGACCCGTGGCGGCGCCGAGGTCTTGACGCTTCTCCCGGACTTCACCCGGCGGGGCTACCTTTTGGCCAGGATGACCGCTGGGAGCAACAGGCGGGAGGTGATCGGGAGCAAGGTTTTCATTTTCGGAAATTAAAATTTATCGGGGCTCACAGATAAAAAAGATAAACATGATATATCAGAAATATCGGACCAAATTCAAATAAAATTTAATTTGAATTTAAGTAAATTTAAATAAATTTAAATAAAATTTGTATGAAAAAGATAGATATTTTCTTATCGGCACCTACGGATAAAAAGGATATATCGGAAATATCGGGAGATTTCGGCCGATAAAATTTTCCCTGATCGGGAGGGTGCGGTGCCGGGGAGGGACGATGGCGCCAGCATGGGTGCATTCGTTCGCCGTCACGGAGAAGTACGTCGTCATGCTGGAGATGCCGGTCCGGTACTCGCCCGCCCGCATGCTCATGTCCGAGCGCACCCCCTTGTACGTAACGGACTGGCTACCAGACTCCGGAAGCTACATGCACGTCATTTGCAGATCCACTGGAAACACGGTACGTCGTCACTATATACGTACGTGCCAATTAAACTTGTTGGATCTGGATCGGTTAATTAATTTGATGATTTCTTGGTGTTGTGTATATATATCTTGTATAGGTGGCGAGCGTAGAGGTGCCTCCTTTCGTGGCATTTCACTTCATCAACGCATACGAGGAGAAAGGCGACGACGGTGCCCGGGCCAGCGCCGTGATCGCCGACTCTGCGAGTACTACGCTGATCCTGCTATCATCCAGGCACTTGCTCTCCACAAGCTAAGATCGCCGGAGACCGCCAAGGACTTCCCTGATTCAAGGTAATGAGCAGGTGCTGTATCTGTATATCTATCCATGCGTCATATCTTTTGAGAGGTCTCGATCAGGAGCCGGATTTTTGAGAAAATGGGCAGGGTCGCGCGGTTCAGAATACCTCTGGACGGCAGCGCCATGGGCGAGCTGGAGACAGTGCTGGACCCGGACGAGCACGGCCGGGGTGTGGAGTCGAGCACCATCAACCCAGCCTACGTCGGCAAGGAGTACCGCTACTTGTACGCCTGCACCGCGCGCCGGCCATGCAATTTCTTCAACGCGCTCACCAAGATGGACCTCGTGGAAAAGGAGGCCAGGAGCTGGCACGAGGAGGACATGGTGCCATCGGAGCCCTTCTTCGTGGCCAGGCCGGGAGCAACCAACGAAGATGGTGGTCAGTTTAATACTCCCTCCATTCCAAATTATAAGACGTTCTGGCTTTACGATGATCGTTAAACGTCTATGTTCTTGATGGCGTGCAACTTATTGTGCTTTATTTTGACCATGTGGAAAACAAATTCGTGTAGGGGTTGTCATATCAACTGTAAGCACCATGGACGGTGACGGCTATGTGCTACTCCTGGACGCGGCGACGTACAAAGAGATTGCCCGCTTGCGGTTGCCTTACGGCCTACCCTTCGGCTTCCATGGCTGCTGGATCCCAGACAAGAACTGAAGAAATCATATCCGTATATATCTTCAAGTGCCGCAGTGGCTAGCTAGTGCGCTCATTTAAATTCCAATGCAAGTAAATGTACACTGTATGAGTATTTGAACCTCATAATTGTAATTATATTCGTACGTCCTCATAATAATCATCACTCCACAAAATGCTGTTTGTGATAAAATTGAGTGCATGTTCAATGGGCCGTGTCAGCCAGCCCATGGATGCTTCTGGTGGTTCAGATTCCTTTGTTCAATTCACTGTTGCATGGTTTTTCTTCGATACCTTTATTTTATTCTTAGCTAGATTTTCATTGATCCTCACAAATTAAATAGGACAATATTTATTTAACCGTTAACTTCATCGTTTAGAGCATGCTCAATTCGCTCTTAATATTAGCTTACCATCGTTTAGAGCATGCTCAATTCGCTCTTAATATTAGCTTACCTAATAGCTTGATAACAAGATTTGTGTTGGTAAATTTGTCATGTATGTAGTGCGCCTAGGTGATCAATCTCGATTAAGCATTGGCAGGTTTTATGGTTATTCATTGTAGTCGTTCCCCAGATTTTTATTGAGGTACTAGTATAAGTGAGGATCAATAATAATGGCAACCAGAAAGAACGGGAGAGGTTGAATGGAAGCCTCCAATTTCCAGAAGGCTTGCATTACAATTTTATCCGACATGCCTCAAACAAATTAATATTATTTGAAAGTAAAAGGACGAGACCAACCTTCTTCAGTCTTCACTGATCGAGTTCCTACTTCCTAATGTATTATAGATTGTACCAACATCAATTAGTTTCATTTACTACTAAAAAATAGACATGTACCATTGGTTCAAAAGACCAAATTACTTTCAGCTTTGTCTTTGCAACCGTATGGTACACATGAAGAAACAATCGTATAAATCATGGACTAAGTGGTACAAACCCTATTTCTACAACTGCTTGCAACAGAAACCTGCAACTATAGTTGCTCATCACTACCGAAAACAGTGGCTTTGCCGTGTGCCACAGACACTCGGCAAAGCCCACAAAACACTCGGCAAAGACTTTGCCAAGTGTAACACTCAGCAAGTAAAAAAAAAAAAAAGCAACGTGCGTCACGGCACGGGCGCTCGGCAAACGGCCTGGTTTGCCACGGCAAACAAATTAGCGTCTGCACTCCTCGTCAACAGGTCAGCCAGGCTCACCTCCCAGTGGCTCAGAACCGCACCCTGCACCCAACGACAGCGCAACTTGGCCGGGCCCAGGACCACAACACCTCATCAAACAGTTGTGGGTTTCTTCTGCGCCGCGCTACACTTTCTGACGTCCAGAGGACTTGGCACCCCACATGCATTTCGGTGGGCCGGCTTTGACATGGGCTCAAACAAACTCGCCCTTATACCCAACTCGTTAGCCCACCTAAGCTGGAGTAACAGGCGCTCGCAGCTGTGGCTGGCAGGCACGCGCGCTGAGGTGCGGCACTTTAAGTTGGTTGTCTCGACGTTCGGGAAGCAGTATGGTGCTAATGTGGGAGCAAAAACAAACGCTGCGCTCGGGTGTTTGTTGATTTGTTTTGCTGCTCGGCTGCTCCATAGCGTGAGAAGTCCATCTTAGATGGGCCGGTTGGCCTCCTGCATGACCCACAGTGGCGTCACACTCCCACAAAGAGACCCATACGAAGACGCTTTGCCGAGTGTCGGATCGGGGCACTCGGCAAAGATGGACTTTGTCGAGTGTCAGATGGGGCACTCGGCAAACCCCGTTTTTTTTCTTCTTTTTCTTCTTTTCCATAACATGTTTTCCTTTTTTTCCGATGTACTTTGAAAATATCCTGTTAAATTGACTCAACAATATATATTTGATTTTTCTACTAATATTATTCCATTATTTTATGCAGTTACAACTCAAATTTAATTTGTATCAATTAAAATTCTATAATTACACTTAATAAATTAAAATTATCAAACGGATCCAAAAATTTACCAAAATTTCACATAAAACAATCTATGTTCTCTATTGCCTATACAAAAAGTTTTGAAACCAAACCCTAATTCAACCGTCACTTTGACTCCAAATCTTACAGAATCCTTCTCAACGCTACGATTATTTTTCTAAGATGCTTCGGTTTGTAAACATCGTACGTGACAAATTGTGCGAAACCTTCTCAAGTTTTTACCATAGCCTCCATGTATGATATCATCACATGACAAATCTCATGATTTTCAGACTTCGTTTGCTTTTTTTAGAATTTAAAAACCAATCGGCCACACGTTCGTGGTCGTGTTTTCTGAACAAGATGCTCGAAATTTCTTTTCATTTTCCGGGTAAGGGCTCACACTGGACTCAATAACATGAATATCATTTTTCTACTCATTTTATTCTATTATTTGAATCACTTGCAGTTCAAATTTGACTTATACCAAAAAATTCCTATAAAAACAATAAATTAATTAAATATAACAAATGATCCGAAATATACCAAATTTTAATATGGGAATACCACATGTTGTATGTGGAGAGTAGAAAAAGTTTCAAGGTCGAAGAGAAAAAAAAATGAAATTATTTGCCGAAAAGTGCCAAATAATTACACTCGGCAAACATATTTCTTTGCCGAAAGTGCGGACAATTATACTCGGCAAACATATTTCTTTTTGCCGATGGCCTAGTTTTGCCTAGTGTTTTTCTAGTTTGCCGAGTGTTGAACTTTGCTTGAGTGTTTTTTGCCTCGCTTGTTTGAGTGCAATTATTTTGCCGAGTGTTTTTTTCAGCACTCGACATAGAGCTTGTTTGCCGAGTGTCCGATAGATTGCACTCGGCAAAACATCTTGCACTCGGCTTACCTTGTGTTTTCGGTAGTGCATGATCATTACCTATGACTTCCACAGGCTAATCAGAGACTTTTGCAGCTCAACAGTGGACTTGAGGAGCATCAATTCCTCACACATAGCCTTGATCTCCAAAAAGAGTAACCCAGAGAGGGCAGATGATTACAGACCCATTTCTCTACTTAATTACTCTGTTAAGCGCATCACCAAAATCCTGTCAGGGAGGCTCCAGTCAGTTATCCTCCAGACAGTGCACTCTAATCAATATGGATTTATCAAGGGAAGAACTATATCAAGGACTGTCTTGCTTGGGCTTTCCAATTCCTCCACCTCTGTCATCGCTCAAAAAAAGAAGCGGTCATCTTGAAGCTTGACTTTGAAAAGGCATTTGATAAGGTAGAGCATCAAGCCATCCTTGAGATCCTAAGGCACAGAGGCTTCTCTGAAAGATGGACTGGTTGGATTCAAAATATTATGAACTCTGGAGAATCCTCAGTGCTCTTTAATAACATCCTAGGAAGAGTTTCAAATGTCTAAGAGGAGTAAGGCAAGGGGATCCCCTCTCTCCTCTCCTCTTTGTCCTAGATGCTGATCTTCTTCAAACCATTGTGAATAAAGCTTGGCAGAATGGCACTTTGAAGCACCCTTTAAGTGATAGCTTTGGGGGAGGGGGGATTTTCCAATAATCCAGTTTGCAAATGATACCCTCCTAATCCTTCCAGCAGAGGCAAAAACTCTCTTCAATCTGAAAAGCAATCTAAATTCTTTTTTAGACTCTACTAGCCTACATGTCATCTTCCAGAAGTGTTTTCTTGTCCCTATAAACATGTCTGAAAATAGAGCCCTTCATCTTGCAAACACTTTTGGATGCAAGGTTGGAAATATGCCTTTTACCTACCTAGGCTTGCCTTTGGGCACCACCATACCCACTATTTAGGATTTGTCTCCCCTCCTTTCAAGAATTGAAAACAAGCTCACTGGTATAAGCAAATTTCTGTCATATCATGGCAGATTGATTTTGGTGAACTCTGTCTTTTCAGCACTGCCTACTTTCTATATGTGCTCTCTCCATATCCCACTGTACCATAGGTAATCAAGCAAACTGACAAATAAAGGAAGCATTGTTTGTGGAGTGGAGGTAACATAATCAGAAGAGGCACTTGTTTAGCAGCTTGGGAAGTATCATGTAGACCAAAAGAAGAAGGTGGCCTTGGAATCATTGATTTGAAGACTCAAAACTCAACACTTTTGCTGAAACATCTTGACAAGTTCTACAATATTGCTGATCTCCCCTGGGTTAAGTTAACTTGGTCAAAGCTCTATGGCAACAACCAAATCCCTCCACATGCTAGATGCCCAGTTGGCTCTTTCTGGTGGAAAGATGTTTTGGGGCTTTTTGAGAAATAAAAATCTCCTACGGTTTACCTTCCAAACAAAGGCAATAACATTCTGTTATGGCTTGACACTAGGGCAAGAACCCCTCTGAAGTACACTTATCCACAGCTGTACTCCTCCAAGAAACAAAAATGCTCCATCAGTTATTTTCTTGATCAGGACATAGACAGAAACCTCAGCCTACCTCTATCAGTTCAAGCAGGCCACCAACTAATGGAGCTTCAAGAGATGCTGTAGCACAAAGACATGAATAGAGGAACACAAGATGTCTAGTCTTTTACTTGGACTTCAAGGTGCTACAACTCTAGGAAAATCTATACTCAGCTTCTGGGGATAGTTGAAGCCTCCCCCTTTTCACCTGGCTCTAGTCGTCCAGCAACCTGGGGAAGCACAAGCTTTTCTTTTGGCTCCTAACTAATTTACACATCAATCCACTGCAACCAACATGGCTTGTTTGGATGTCCATATATTTACCTCATGTGTTGAGGTGGATTGGGGTAGAAACTACACTAATTTTCACTTTAATCCACCTCAACACACGTGGATTGATGTGAATACATGGACATCCAAACAAGACCTAAATTGATGTGAATATGAGTGTATCCAAACAAGTCATAATGAAGATTTTATCCCTACAGTCAAAATCTCCCTCAATCCTCTCTAATCCCCTTAGATTAAGAATTAACCAAAGAAGCCCGTATTAAGGCGGATTTAGCAAAACATAATTAATTTCAATATCTAATTCACTCTAACATACGTGGATTGAGATGAAGATAAGTGTAGACAAATAACAAGCCCTTAG